TGGTATACGCCCTAGTGGGGATAGTAGTGCTATGCGCCCTAGTGGGGATAGTAGTGCTATGCGCCCCAGTAGGGATAGTAATGGTATTCGCCCTAGTGGCGATAGTAGTGGTACTCGTCGTAGTAGAAGTGGTTTAAGAGTGCGTTTTAGTGACGAAGTAAGCTGTAGTGATGACCACAATGGCAGAGATGGTGATCTGAATAGAGGTCGTGACCAAATTAGTAATGGCGGGCACAATAGTCACTTAGATTCTGGTAATTTAGGTCGAGTAAGAACTCTAGACTCTGTAGGCAGGGAGACTAGAAATATGAATAACCTTCAAATTGGTTCTCGTAGAAATCACGGTAATAATGCTGATTATGGTAGTAGTAGTGGTAACACCCATGGAAATGTTGACCACGCAGATAGTGTTATTTATGATGTTATCGGAATTCATAATAGATTTGACGGTTACGGAAATGGTGGCGTATGCAGTAGAAATGACGATTACTTTAGTAACGATGCATGTGAAGGTAGCGTCATTCATAGTAGAAGTAGCATCGTTGACATTGATGACGCCAATATTGCTAGCGGGGTCTATGCCAATAATGGTATCCATGGAAATGATGTTAACCCTGTTGAAAATGCCATCCGTAATAATGACGTGCGTGGTAACATTAGTAGCGGTGTTGATAGTGGTCAAGGCAGTGATAATCATGTAGACGAAAACGATAGGCATGAACATTATTTTGGACACGGCTACTATTATAACGAAGAATATGTTGATGAAGATACTGAAAGTGACGACGAAAGGGTTGAGGAAGGCGCTGTAGGAGGCGTGGGAATACGAAGAATGTTGCCATCAAGACCGCCATCGCTTCAGAATCGGATGACATGGTTTAAAACACATTTAAACAATAATGAACATAACATCCTAATGTACAAAATGTAGGATAGAGTTCTTTGTTAATGATATTTGTGATTTGGTGATTACCAAAAATTGTAATTATTGTAAAATAAACTTGTATATTTCTTATCAGTAAAAAATACCTCATACATTTTTAATTACGCATACCAGATTTAAGAAAACGCCGTAAATGCATTTTTTAATTCCGTATTATTTATGTATAACAAGCAATTGAATTAGGTTCTGTTATTATTTTTAAATTAGTGTGAATTATAGCTATTATCATATAATATTCAAGAGTAATAATATTATCCTGGGCTCCTATTTTTTTTTTTTAAATATATCAATTGCAAGCAAAGTTGTGAGCATTTTAAAATTTTTTCAAAATTAAAAAGTCATGCAAAATTGAGGTGAGGTTCTTTTAAATTTAAAAATAAGTCAATTCACTCTGATACTTAAAATGTATTCTTTTGAATGCAAAATTTGGTATTTCATTCGTCTGTAAAACGGATACAACATATATGTGAGTACGATGTCCCTTTAACCAATAACGATTAGGTTAACCTATATAGATAAACCAACTGTAATTATTATTAAAAAAAAAAAAAAAAAAAAAAAAAAAAAAAACGGTAATATAACTTTAATGATACTTCTTTAGTTTTAACCCACTTAATTAATCAGTAGACCTCAGAAATTAAGTGATTATCGATCTAGTCACAATCAATATAATAGTGTAATTTATTGTATAAATTCGGTGTAATGTAAATATGAATAACATTTTCTGTATAATATTCTATAACTTAATATTTAATTTAAATATTAATAATTTATGTACAGTGTAAATAAATTGAATTAGTCTATGACTGCCCGGGTTGGGGTTAATTTTTAAATTATTAGATAGTGATATTGTTTATTTATAGGTTAAAATTATTATGATATTATGTATATACACATTTTTCATGGTTAATTATTTACCTACTTAATTGGTTAGGTCAATTTGCATTTCTGCCGTTTTCTTCTCTTGTTTTTAATTAATTCATCAAAACATTATTGTTATTATTATCAGCTGATAATAATACTAAGCAGAAAAACCACCATCTTCAATATGATTTTGAAACTGTAATGCAATGTACCAGTGGAAAGCTTGTTAATTTTATTGCTAATAGGTTTAGAAAATGTATCATAATCTAATGTGTAAATATTGTGTTATTTGTTGTAAAGTTTAAATTAATTCATATAATAAGTAAATGTATATAATAATTGTATATACGCGTGTAAATGACTTAGATCAAATATTCGAGTTAACTATATCACGGTTATTATAGGCTACGGTGAAAAGTGTCACGTTCACTATCACTTTCGGCAGCACAAAAATCCGTTGCATTTTATGAACATCAAAGATCTAAGCCCTATCTTAATCAATTCTAGAATAATTGTTTAAACATGATAATAACGAGAACAAAACCATCTTGTTTTGAACTCATCTGATATGGAATTATCGTCACAGTTCAAATAATTTTCTAATTTATTTCTAATTTTGCGACACCCTAGTTTTTCGGAATTCTACATTCATCGATCGCGATCGAGTCGAATTTCCAAAAGGCCTCTGTCGGTTACATTTTCCGACTAGTATTATACGAATACGTTAGCGCTGGTGCACCGTCTCACCGTTTCGTTTTGTACACGACTCTCCGTGGTTGTCACTCACTTACTTAACATCATCACCGTTAGGTTGAACGAGCGCAAAAGTCTCGGTGCTAGATTCCAACTCGTCGTTATAGGATCTGTGCGGGTGTGGGGATAACCTCGGTCTAACCTAATCGCACGAGTTGCGGTGACCCCGTTAATGCGATTTTCTGACCGTTGCCAAACGCTCTTAGAGAACTGGCTGCAGCAGTCATCACAAATTGGGTCTTACGGGGCTACGGGACTCGGGCCTACTGCGGTCTGTCGGTCGGTCGGTTTTACTGTTATGCTCATCACCGCTAAAATATCATCACACAAGTATTCACTGTTGGTCGGGGTTCTGCGTCGGTATATGCGACGCATAGGTTTATACCCGATTTAAGGTATCCACAACGGCACGACGACAGTTCAATAAACAGTCAATTTTACGGCGGCCGAAATAAAAACCACGGCCCGCCGTAGGTACGCTGTATTATAATGAAAAATAATATTATTATGGGTTAGTTGTACCCGTATGCTCACTGCAGATCACAACCACGAAAAACTACCTCCACTACCGTAACATGACTGTTAAACAATAATAACGCGTTGACAATATAGTGTACCTATTATTGCTATGCGTTATTGTTGGGTCCGTCGGCCCCGCGATGGCGGATGAGATCACCACGACTTCGACATTCAGGGAAGATATTTTTTTGATTATATTTATTCGCTTTTTGCGTATTATTTGCGTATGATGCTTGCGAGTATTGTTTTTTTTTTTTTTTTTTATTTATCATTTACCTATTTATTATGCGTACGATTGCGATCATCGTGGATATCGTGTTGATCGTTATTATTTTATTTGTCGTCGAGTTCGACTCGCCGCCCGCCGTGTTAAAATCACGCGCGCGCGAGTTTGAGACACTACTTGCGACTGCGGTCTACGTATATCCGATACGTTCGCGTGCGTGGACTTAACGTCTGATCTTTATTTTATTTATTGCGATTTAAACTATTCGCATGGCGTTCACCCGTGAACGCGTATGCGTATGTAATGCGTTGATATTATTCTCGTGCACAGTTGACTCTTGGGCACGCGTCGATATTGGTTATACCTTTCGGTATAAAATATGACGATGATTGAAAAGTTTTCGAATTCGACATTTTGAGCGTGCCCATGGAGAGACCGCCGTGCGGTGATGTGCGTCATTATTTACATCAAATAATAATAACAAAAAAAAAAAAAAAAAACATAATTCATTATATTATTATATTGTTAATTATCATTATTATATATTATTAATTATCATTATTATACATTATTAATTATAATTATTATCATTATTATTACCATTATAATTATTATTATGGGTTTTAGCTTATTATAGTTTTTGTAGTTAGCTTATGGCTCGATAGTAGCAAGTTGCGTTTTTTAAATATATTAATTATACTAGAGGTCGGACTTATATTCTTTGAATATTAAAAAAAAAAAAAAATATTTATTCAGTTTAATATATTATACATTCAGTATTCAGTATTATAATTTGGTTTTAAATTCAATTAATTTTCCAATAACAATTAACAATTATAATATATTATTGTTACCATGTGTTCC